GTCCTGACGTACCCGTCACCAGCTCCCGCACCTCCGCGTCAGCAGTCTTCCTCAGCAGCCGCAGTAGAGCCGGGACCCCGCCCGCATTCCTCACCGCGATCTTGTTGTTGTCCGTGGCCTTGCCGTAGACGAGGTTCCGCAGGGCCCCGCATGTGTTCTTCTGCACTTCCACCACCTTGTGGTCCAGAAGGTCCACCAGGTGCTTGATGCCGCCGAGGCGGCAGACCTGACGATGGGATTGGGGGGGGGGGTATAGACATGCAACTATGACTGTCAGAGCAGGTCGAGCCCCCTCTCTTCATTTACATGCATATACACAGGCTGGTGCCACAACATCACCATGGTCTATTGGGGGGGGGGGGCACTGCACTCATAAAAGTTAAATATTTACAAAGTTGTTGGTGAGAGATACATATAAACCTTGTTCTGAAGGTGCCCTTGAATAGTTCTCCTGTTTGGTTCTAGCTGCGTTTTGTAACGTAGGGTCTCTCTCTTATTCTGATGCTAACTTAATACACGCTAGTGTCACTGGTCACTCACTGGAAGCTCAGACAAGCAGAAACTGTACCTGATTGACTCTTGACAGCTGTATGCTTGTGATGTACAGTATCAGTAAAAAGTCTGGACACACCAGCTTTTAATGGATTTGTCTCTAGTTTAGTTTTTATTCACCTCTAGTAAAAAGCCTCGAGGTGACAAAGCAATATGTAACGAAAGAGCAGTGTTCGACATCTTAAGATTTGCTCCAATTTTACACTCTGCAATAGAGCCCCTTTCGCTTTGATGACAACGCTGCAGACTCTTGGCATTCTCTCAGCCAGCTTCCAGACATGGCCACCTGCAATGCTTCTCCAAAACAAGTTCTGAGCACAAGTTGGCTACTTTGCTCATACTCTTCCATCCAACTCATCACAAACTCGCTCCATAGGGTTTCAGGTCGGGGGATTGTGGGGGCCGGATCATCTGTCACAGCACTCCATCTCTTTCCAGGCTAAAGCTGTCCACTGTGGCCCTTGCAAATCTGGCCTCCTAATCATCCCCTTTATCTATCTGGTTAATTCTCTCCTGCCCCTTCACCTCCTTAGCTACTGTGCGGTGAGTGTACTGGCTCAGAATGGCTGCCGTCTCATCATCCAGGTGGGGGCTACACAGTGGTGGTGGTTGAAGCGGCTCCCCATTGGTTCTGTAAAGGACTTTGGGTGTCTTGAAAAGTGCTATATAAATGGACCTTCATTCATTCCTTGTTCACAAGATAATACAGTACTTGCCTAAGCTCAAGGTGTGCTTAGGGTCATGAACTTGAACTACACTGTCCACCTTGCTTTTGCTAAATCAACAGGTTTAAATGTAAATAAAACCCACAGCCTGTAAGACACACTGGGCATACTGGGTTCCACGGGCCTGCCTTGGGTGAGATGACCCCCACCCCCCACCCCTACCCCCGCCCGGTAACTGGACCAGACTGGATCGGGACGCACCTCGGCCTTGACTCGGTTGTCTCCGTAGCACAGATGCTGCAAGTATGCGGCGGCATTGGCCTGCACTGAGGGGAAGTGGTGCTGCAGCATGTGTATGACCTCCGGCAGCTCCGGGTCACGCCAGCCGAATTCCCTGGAAGAGAGGCGGAGCCTGTGTGAGTGGGGGGCGGGGGGGCAGAGGCGGGCCGGCGGGCGAGCGGGGCCCCTGCCTCCTTTCCAAATTGCTCCGTCTGCGGCTTCACTAAATCCGAGGCGGCCAGTGGCAGAAATATTACTTCCCGGCTTCCGCTGGAGATATATTTCAGCTGGCAGAGTTTAATTTTGAGTGTTCAGGAAATGTCCCGTATTCCCGTCGGACAATTACTGTCATAACGGAGGCTAAATGAACAGCTCCGTTTCATAAAAAGCCATTTCTCGGGTAATAAAACCTCTGCTCGCCGACTGAAATAACACAGATGCGAGACGAAGGCCCAAGCTTCACTTCGCTTTACAGCATTCTTCCATCTCTGGGATCTTAAAATCTGTTTCACAGCAGTCATTAATTGGTAAACAAACAAATCCATACGTCCATTTCTGGACTTCACCAATTCAGGTCAGGGTTACAAGTAAACAAATGGCACTGCATTTAATTATGATAATCACACACAGCACTTTTTTTTTTTTAAATGTTCATTAAGCTGCATATGGAGTGAAGCATTTCAGGTTAAGTCCCCGATATGTTACAGTCACGATTAAAGGTGCATACAGACCCATTTCAGGTTAAGTCCCCGATATGTTACAGTCACGATTAAAGGTGCATACAGACCCATTTCAGGTTAAGTCCCCGATATGTTACAGTCACGATTAAAGGTGCATACAGACCCATTTCAGGTTAAGTCCCCGATATGTTA